TGCCATTTGGCTTGACAAATGCTCCAGCGGTTTTCCAACACATGGCGAACGACGTTTTTTGGGAGTTTCTTGATCAGATGGTGATCGTCTACCTCGATGACATCCTCATCTACTCAAAAACTCAGGAGGAGCATGACGAACATGTTTGCAAGGTGCTAGCGAAGCTACGAGAACACGGCCTATACGCGAAGCTTGAGAAATGTTCCTTTGATCAGCAGTCTGTGGAGTTCCTTGGGTACATTGTCACTCCTGAGGGTATCACGATGGATCCTGCTAAAGTCAAGACTATTCTCGAATGGGAGCCTCCACAATCAATGTCAGACGTTCAGGTTTTCCTTGGCTTCGCCAACTTCTACCGCAAATTCATTGATCAATACTCTGACATTGTCCTTCCTCTCACACATCTCACTCGCAAGGATGTTCCCTTCTCTTGGTCTGCTGCTGCCCAGCAGGCTTTCGACACACTCAAGGCGGCCTTCAGTTCTGCTCCTGTCTTGATCCATGCTGATTCCTCACAACCTTTCTTCATCGAGGCTGATGCCTCCGACTTTGCCATTGGTGTTGTGCTGTCTCAACTCGGAGCGGATCACGAACTTCATCCGGTCGCTTTCCATTCTCGGAAATTCCACCCTGCGGAGATCAATTACGAAATCCACGACAAGGAGCTCCTTGCCATCGTGGATTCCTTTGGAGAGTGGCGCCGTTTCTTGGAGGGGGCGAGCCATCAAACAACAGTCTGGACGGATCACAAAAATCTCGAGTACTTTGCCACTTCCCGAGTTTTAAGCCGTCGTCAAGCAAGGTGGGCACAATTCCTGAGTCGGTTTGACTTTGTTATCAAGTACAGACCTGGAAAGTTTCAAGGCCTTCCTGATGCTCTTTCAAGGCGCTCCTATCTCAGTCTCAGGCCTGGTAATCCTGCCTTCGATCAACAGGATCAAGTTATCCTCGGTCCTGATCGGCTTCAAGTTATGGCAATTTCCTTGGCCCCTCAGGACTCCTCCTTGATGGATGCAATCAGAAACGATCTTCAATCCGATGATCTCGCTAGCGACATTTTCCCCCATCTTCAGGCTAGACACCCAGTGACTCCCGACTGCCGGCGATTTGACGAGTTCGAGTTCTTAGATGGCTTATTGTATCGTGGGGAGCAGCTTTACGTTCCTGAAGGTGATGCTCGAAGGTTGGTCCTGATGGCGTGCCACGATAGCCCGACTGCTAGTCACTTCGGCATTGCGAAAACCTATGAGCTAGTTGCACGGGACTTTTGGTGGCCTCACATGGACGACTACATCAAAGCTTTTGTTACCTCCTGTGACACTTGTGCTCGGAATAAGGTACCTCGCCACCTTCCTTCAGGTTTGCTTCGTTCCCTTCCGGTCCCTTCAGGTCCTTGGGAATCCATCTCCATGGATTTCTTGAGTGATCTTCCGAGTTCTGGAGGCTTCAACAACATTTTAGTCGTGGTGGATCGCTTCACAAAGATGGCGCACTTCTTGCCATGTACCAAGGAGTTTTTGGGCGAGGACGTGGCAAAACTGGTATTCAGGGAAATTTTCCGACTTCATGGGATTCCTACAGATGTGGTTTCGGATCGGGGGCCTCAGTTCATCTCTCATTTCTGGCAACGGTTTTTGCAGTTGCTTGGAGTGAAGGCCAACCTCTCTTCGGCATATCATCCTCAAACTGATGGGCGATCCGAGCGAACGATTCAGACGTTGGAACAATTCTTGAGGTGCTTCATCAACTATCATCAGGATAACTGGTTCGATATCCTTCCCCTTGCTGAGTTTTCCTATAACAACTCTGTTCACTCCTCTCTTCGAGTTTCCCCCTTCTTTGCAAACTCTGGCCGAAATCCCCGATTCAATCTCTCACTTCCTTCTCCATCTGAATCCTTTCGTTCAAATCCCCGCTCTGAGGCATTTATCTCCAACCTCCAGGAAATCCACAACTCCATCTCCTTCCACCTCCATCGTGCTCAGGAATCTCATAAAACATTTGCCAATGTCCATCGTCAGGATTGTCCCCCTTACAATATCGGGGATAAAGTTTGGCTCCTCAGGCGAAATATCTCCACCACCAGGCCCTGTCCAAAACTCGATTTCAAACGCCTTGGTCCTTTCCCTATCACTGCCATCATTAATCCTGTCACTTATCGCCTTGCACTTCCCTCCTCATATCAAATTCACCCCGTTTTTCACTCCTCTCTCCTTGAGCCTTATATTCCCAGTCCTATTCCAAATCGGGTCATTCCTCCGCCTCCACCAGTGCAACTCGAGGATGGGTCTAAGTATGAGGTTCAGGACATCCTTGATTCCAAGATTTCACGGTCTAAACTCTACTATCTGGTGGACTGGAAGGGTTACGGACCTGAGGAACGCACTTGGGAACCTGCGGACAACCTGATTCATTCTCCTGACCTTGTTTAGGACTTCCACCACCGCTATCCTTCTCGTCCCAGTCCTCATTTTTTTTCTCCCTCTCCCATCCCTCGCCGCTCATCTCATCCTCCTCTTCGTTGTCGTTCACATCCTCGTTCCACTCGTTCTTGAGGAGGGGGTGCTGTCAGGAATCCCCCAATTCTTGCCACATTCCTGACTCTCGCCGGATTCCTGACCTGCAGACCACATTCCTGAGTCTCGAGACACTTCCCTATTCCTGACTCTCGAGACACTTCCCGATTCCTGAGTCTCGAGACACTTCCCTATTCCTGACTCTCGAGACACTTCCCGATTCCTGAGTCTCGAGACACTTCCCGATTCCTGAGTCTCGAGCCACATTCCTGATGATGATGTGGCGCCTCCTCGACCTCAGCTATATTTAGGCCGTCCTCGATCCAAGAGTGGTGAAGCTTCATTAACCTATAGTATATATAAGTTAGCCTTGTTCCATTTCTCCACAATCTGAATCAACACTAGTCTAAGGCCTCTTCTTTGTTTTCACTAGCTTTTTCTCTTTGTCTTTAGCATTTTCCAATCTTCATCTTGTTGGGGGTCTTGACAAACACTACCACTGAGTCAAGGCCAAAAAGCCCGACTATTAAATCCCATTGACCTCTAAGACTTCCTCACCACATGACCATGCTTGGTCACTATACAAAAGGATTACTCTTCTTCTTTTCCATAGTTTGGGATTTTAGGATGATATTTCGAAACACTGTGGCCTTTAGCAAGCCTCATAGGTATTCTCCCCACCTTATGCCTTTGGGTGCCCTAGCCATGTGGCTAGAGCAAGGTTTCGATGAGTCATGTCAGATATCCAAATAAGTAGTGCCACCTATATTTGGATTGGGCGCATCAACTATTTCGATCTTATAAGAGAGTTAGAGTTAGCTCTTGAACACTTCGCTAAACTACCTTGCTTGTTTGTCCATATTCACTCTAGCCTTGGACTCCTCAATAGTTATATCATCACCCAACATATGGGTATAGCCTCATTGGCTGACACTAACCTTTCTTGGCCAAACTAATTCCACTGAAGTCTAACCCCCACACTCTCCCTACTACACTTTTTAGAACCAACACCCCCTCCCCCCTCCTCCCCCCCCCCCCCCAAGGGAAAAATTGTTTTGGGCTTTCACCCTTTGACCTGTATTAGTATTCGGACTTGGACTCGGTCTCAGTTTTGGCTTTAACCTCAATTTACTACCCAATCTTCGTCTCCATTTCAGACTCAACCTTGGACTCCATCTTAGATTCCATCTTAGGTCCATCTTAGGTTCATCTCAATCTTACCTTGGACTCTTTCTCTGATTCGTTCTCTAACTCCATCTTAAACTTCTTCTCGGAGTCAATCCTAACACTCCCATGTGTTATGACATTTATTATGTGCCAGTCCCTTTTATGTCCTTTTCTAGATACTCATTTCGTACTTTGAGCACTTCTTTAAGAGTTCCACTCCCACTCTCAACTTTCTGAATCGAAACTTTTGGTCCAAATGTGTTATACTTATTAGACTTTTGCTTTAACCATTATAATATGGCACCCTTTTGGATTTATGTCTTATAAATTCTTTCAAAAACCTCTTATAGATTATGTCATTTTTCAAATGATTTTATATATACACTAAAGAGAGATGTAATTATGATTAGCTAACTTTTACATCTTTGAATGGAAAAGTTAGATCATTGTCTTAAAAACAATTAAAATCTTTAAAATTCACTAAAAGCTATAAATATATTTTCAAACTTATATTTCTTGTTCTCTTTCTCTCTTGCTCCAAGATATATTTATGAAAGACCTAGCCCAATCTTATATAACATTTTCTATGAAATTTCATATGAAGTTATTTCTTCAGCATTGTACTCTTGTTTTCAAAACCTCTGTAAGAAAATGAAATGTTAAACCTTTCTATTCAAGATATATGAAACTTCAGATTCAGGTTATTTCTTCAACATGATACTCTTGTTTTTGGAATCACTTAAAAAAGAAATATAAAACCTCTCATTTTCAAAGACAATCTTCAATAGAACAGAAATATTTTTTCTGCCTGACAACACGTCTTCACTCCAGTCCAATTCAAAGTCAACACAACAAGCGTAGTTAAATTCTAACTTGAGGACCTCCATATTACATGTAGTTTCTGTGTAAGCCGGATGGAAGCATCACACGTATTTGTGTCAAGGATAGGTAGCTGGACCAAACTTATTTCTTCACATCATAAAATCTATGTCTAGGAATAACTAGAAAAATCTTTGTGTATTCGAATTCCAAAGTAATCTCGAAAGAATACGAGCTACCAGGAAGGCGCGAAGAAGCCCCAAATGAATCTTCTCGTGATAGCTGAAATTATATATGGTGTGCCAGGAAAGCGTAAGTACCAGCCATGGCTGCCCGGACTCCATGGTACGTGTGGCTGGTGCTGGTCTGTGCGGTTGTGGCTGTATCATCCGCCGGGGCAGTGAGTTTTCTAATCAGTCAATTCACTGAAAACTTTTCTCTTGATCACGCGATGTTTCTATCTAGGTGACCAAACTGATGAAGCGTGCCGCTCCAATCTCCAATGCAGCATGGAGATTGCAAGTCACGGCAATGATCCTTCTGCCTGGATTCATTTGGGACTGGTGCCGCCTCTCTCCCCAGAAGCGATGTATGTTCTTCACATGGCGACCTCTTTGCGTGCTTGGAATCAGTGCTCTTGCAATAGCCTTGCACTTCGGCCTATGGGTATAGAATTGTATTGCTTAGATCGAGAAGGGGGTTCACGCTTACAATTCGATATCCAGGTATGGTCACTGGATCACACATCCCTTCCACATAGCCTCCTCTTTGTTTCGATGCCTCCGCTCATCATCGCTGTTCTATCCTGGCTGCGCTGTAAGCCCCTGAGCAAAGGAGAGAACGCCGGGGTGTTCTTGGGTTTTGCTGGGGTTTTGATCATCGCATTTGCTAGCAAGTCCGATGGTGACAAAGGCATCACTTTCCTGGGGGATTTGATGGCTTTCCTGGCGGCTGTTGCGTTTGTAGGCTACATGTTTGCTGGGAACAATCTCAGAAGTGAAGCTCTAGACTTATCTTTCTCTTCTTCTTTGCAAAACTTGGATGATCTTTACAAGTGTTGGATTTCATTCTTTCTGTGGGTATTGTTTGTCATTTCACCAGGTTGGATGCCGCTCTATCTCTATGCCTTCCCTGTAACGGCTGGAGGAGCTCTCATTCTGGGCATCGCTTGTGAGTTTATGGAGAACTACCATTCCAGATCGTGGAAGATTGGTGGACCTTTTGCATGGACGAGGCGAGGTTTGGAGAACTCAATCAAAAGATATAGTTGCTTATGAGTTATTTGCAGGTTTCTGGGCTCCAACGCTTTTTTTGGCAATCGGCCCTGGTCTAATCGGTCACACGGGTTTGAACTATGTTGTCAAGTACACAGGGCCTTTGATTATTTCCATGGCTGTCACGCTGGAACCTGTGATTGGATCTCTCATCGGCTGGGGGATTCACGTCTCCTCAGCACCCGGGTACAAGCAAAATTAATTCAATGCAAAGTTCTCTTAATTCACACAGCAGGTATGTGTCTTACCAGTGTGTTTACTTGCGTTGGAGGAGCGCTTCTGATATTTGGGACTCTGGTGGTGAATTACGCCAATGGAAGAGCTACTAAGAAGAAGTTAGAAGCAGAACAAGCCAGACAGGTGTGGAACATCAGAATTCATGAATGCTTACTGTTGGTCTTGTGCAGCAGCAAGAACTGCCTCAAAACGACTCTAGTATTGACGCAGGTCCAGCTCCAGCTTCACAACATCAATCTCACCAAGCTCCACAACATGAACAGGAGCTTGCAAATGTCTAAACAGTCTATAACATTCACCGAATTAACTGACAGAACTTCGTCTCAAATAGCTGCTTTAATCAACATCTGAATTTTCACCAGGAACTTCCATTCATAAGAAAGATCATGCCACACCGGCTTGTTCTCTAGACAAATTTGTAGTTATAAGCAATCCCTTTCTCCTCCAAAGTAGTAGCACTCGATTAGACCTGGATTGACAACACAAAACCAAAACAGTCGCTCATTGATGATGTATTGTCAACTCCCTGCAAGCCATGGAACTCTTTACAGCTCTTCTATCGCTATGATTTACTACTTTCAATCCACGAGCAATTCCCGGTTGCTGAATAAATCTCCTAGGTTCTCCCAGAACCCGGCTTGTTGTCCAGAAATCTGTAAAATAGCATCCAATGTCCCGCATTCAAGCCGGGATTGGTCTAGCCGCAGCCATGGCAAAAAAAAAAAAAAAAAAAGCCTAGGAGGAACTGCAAAAACGATGAGTTGGAAGATCATTGGGTCTCAAGTCAGCTTGGGTGCGGATTGTTTCCAGGAAGGTCCAGTTCAATCTACCTGTGTCCTAGACATGGAGGCCAAGTTTTTTATGTAGGACACTTCGTGCTACTAGTCCGTGCTCAGAACACCAACATTGAGGAGCTGCTGGATGTGACCGACTTGCAAGTGCAAGAGATTGCAAAGCAGGCCATCGAATGTTTGTGGTGAGGGTCACATTCTAGATCATGTCTATACAAACTTCTGTCATGAAGTCTAAGAATGATTGCTGTGCAGGGAGTCTATCGACTTGCTTGCCAGAGACTTGCATCAGGCAACCCTGCAGGCCGCAGTCCCGGGATGAGATCCAGAAGCTCTCATGCATTGGGGTACATCAGAATCTAGCTTGCACAGCTTCGGGAATGGAACATGTCGCTACGTTAGCGTGTCTAGCGAGAGATCATACATCAGGTTGGTTGTCTCACATTTTTGCTAGTATTTTCTTTTGAGATTTCTTAAAACGTCCAGGGTCTCACCCGAGCTGGCTTCAGAGACTGATACTGCTGCGGTCTTGTGCGCTCAGAAACCTCTTGACCACAAATTACAACAGGCCTGCAACAGCATCTATGAAGGAAAGGCACTTTTCGGAGGCGGCATTGAAGGCTATTTATACGTTTATCCAAGCCGGGTACGAGGTTTTCGTCTTTCATTTGATTTTAATTCATGAAAGGCATAGATAATCTACAGGACTATGCAGACAACGAAAAATGTAACACGTATGATCCGAGACGCAGGCCGTGGTACTTGAATGCCTTGGCAGTTCAGAAATCACTCTACATTGTTTTGGACACATCGTTGTCCATGAGAGCCTTTGTCATCTCAAAGCCGTCTGGCCGGTGCCAAAAACGTTCTTAAGGCACTCCTGGACACTCTCACGAATAGTGTCAATGATTAATGATCGACATATTGCTGCTCCAGTAATTTAAAAGATAATTTTCCAAGTTATGATTCATCTTAGAGCTTTGGTTTTGCAGGTTTCAGTCGTGCTTGAAAACCTTGAAACATCATCCAATGCTTCTGGCATTTCGTCCCTCAAGGATGCCATAGCCAAGGTCAAAGTCGACAATTTACCCACGGATATCAAGAAAGGTCTTGCTGCGGCCCTTGATTTCTTCAATTCCAGCTCTAACTTAAACGTAAAGATCATCCTCTTTCTTTGTCTGTCACTCACAGTGCTTGTAATGTAAGGTAATACTTCTCTTCACGGATGGACAGTTTGCCAGCAATTTCAACTTCACAGATTTGAATCCACTCTTTGCACAACTCAACGACAAAGGTGTTGTGGTTTTCGTCTACAGGATAGGATTCTTCACCTCCAACGATGCCACTTTCCAGGAGATGCAAGATAACCTCAACATGACTTACGAGGCTGTGAAAGAAGAGAAAAATCCCCTGCTCAACATTCGGAGCTACTTGATTACATCGCTTGGCTTCGCTTTGTTGCCGTGAACAAAAAGCCTACGTGGGTGCCTGTTTACGTTGAGGCCGCCGAACTTGGAAACGTGACGAGCTCAATATTCCCAGGTAAACCGGCGCTCCTTTTCTTGTCTTGGTTCCTTGATAATCTGATTACTGCTGTAGCGTTCGATGCAAATCAGCGTTTGATCGGAGTTGCATGCATTGACCTTATTGCCGAGAAACTTATCAGCAGGCTCGGCAGCGCTGCTGTTCAAGAAGCAGTGTCTAAACGGAGCTTCCATTCTTCAGAGAATGTGAAGCCTCTCCCTCTCACTCAACCAGTTAAGTCCACAAAACCCCCAGCTTTTCAACTTATCGCTGACATTACCAGTAGGTCTCGAATGCAACTATTATCAAATGTGGTTTTACTGGGAAGCTGACTCCCATTTGCCCGCAAAGAGATTTTTCGACACCGATCACAGAGTTCATGTGCTGTGGCGATTGTGCTGTTGCCAGCACCAATTCTTCGAAGACTTCATTGGCGGTTGGTGCCATTGCTGGTATTTGCGTGGGAGCGGCAGTTCTTGTTCTGGCTGCCGCTGCTGTAGTTCTCTACTGTAAGTGCTGCAAATCCCCCTCGCCTACCACGAGTGAAACTCCCATCGGGGCTGAACAAGAAGTGTGGGTGACAGGCCCATCGCCGCAGAGGTCGCCTAATAACATAACTGATTGAAAGAGAGCCTTGCTTCGTTTACTTCATTTACAACTGAAACTTGGCCCAGCCTGCGATTAAACTCATCAGCAACAATGGACAAGTGAATGAACAGTCTAGCCCGGTGTCCAAAAAAATGTAGAAATGTAGTCAGGAGATGTCATCATCAGCCTTTGGGCGGTGGTTGGCAATACGTAGAAGTCCACACGGTTTAGGATAGCTAAATATCAGATAAAAATCAACACGATAGTGGTTCGTGCTTCCAGGAACCAACGAGGGCTTGATAAAATCAACGCCACCACTTTTGCAGGTTTGAGCGAATGGAGAGCTCCCTCTTGCTTAGATCCGCCTTTTTAGGAGTCTTGTCTTTGCTGCTAGCAAACGCTCAAGATAACATCGAAACAGTGCTGAACGAGACCGACTTCCAGGTCCAGCAAATCGCGAATCAAGCAATCTTAAATCGAGCCAATACTTGTGGTAAGCTCTTGAACCTCAAGCTCAAACAACTTTGTAGAGTATTGTCACTCCAGGAAGTCTATCGGATTGCTCACTAGACACTTGCAAAAGGCGCCCTTGCTGGCCGCAGTCCAAGGATGAGATCCAAAAGCTCTCTTGCGTTCAAGTATTCCGCAATGGAGACTGCACGTCTCCGGCAAATGGAACTTGCCAGAGCTTAAGCGTTTCAACTCAAAAAACATACCTCAGGTATCTGGCTTGTCAATGTACAGCTTTGACTTGAGATGTTGCTATGATCATCTAGAGTCCCACCCGATCAAGACCCGGAGAAAGATCGAGATTTTCAGACGGTCTTGTGTGCTCAAAAATCTCTAGACAAGAAGCTACAACAGGCCTGGAATAACACGAAGAAGTTTTCCCTTGGCTGGGCTTTCTTTGGAGGGATTGAAGGATACTTGTATGTTTACCCGGGCCGGGTAAGTGTACAATAAGCATTTCTTCCCTGCAAGCGAGAGTTTATGTCTTTATATTGACAGGACTATGTCGACAGTGGGCAGTGTGATCTTTATGATCCAAGGCTCAGGCCATGGTTTCTCAATACTTTGGCGGTCCAAAAATCGCTCTACATTCTCTTGGACACCTCCACTTCCATGAGCAATCCCACTGGTGTTTTATCCTCCCAAACCCGCTTTAATGTTGCAAATAACATCATTAACCAGCTGCTAAACACTCTCACTAATGGAGATCAAGTGGCTGTGTCAACGATCGGTGGTGAGAAAATCGGAGCTCCAGTTAAGTTTTCATCAGAAACTAGGATAATTTCTGATTATGAGGTTCTGAATTCCAGGTTTCCGTAGTTCTTGACGTCCAGGAAACCTCTTTGTATCTGGCTGGAATCTCATCCCTCAAAGATTCCATAAGCAACACAAGTGTTACAAACTCAGCCAGTAACATAAAGAATGGGCTGCAAGCGGCACTTGATTTCTTCAACACCAGCTCCAACTTGAATGTAAGATGCTTTTCGTGTGATAATCACAAGAAATCACATTGGTTTCTTCAACTTGGCAAATCCCAGGTCATAACCCTCTTCACAGATGGACAGCTTGTCATCCCTGGCAATTTCAACTTCACCCAACTGAGCCCAGTTTTAGCACAGCTGAACGCGAGAAACGTTGTGGTGTTCGTCTACAGAATCGGGTCCTTCACGTCCAACGATGCCACTTTCCAGCAAATGCAGAGCAGCCTCAACATGAGCTACGAGGTCATCAGTGACGACAAAAACCCGCTGCTCAAGATCCACAGCTACTTCGACTACATTGCATGGCTTCGCTTTGTCGCTGTCAACAAGAAACCGATTTGGGCGAGTCTGTATGCCGATTCTGCTGGCCTTGGCAATGTCACAACTTCCATCTTTCCAGGTTTGTATAGTACTATTATTTATTCCTCTGCTTATTTTAATTGCATGCAGCTTTTGATGCAAATCAACAGCTAATTGGAGTTGCATCGATAGATGTTCTTACTGATGGGCTTGTCGCGGAGTTTGGCCAGCCTGCAGTTGAGACAGCTATATCTGAACGATCACACTTTGTTCCTTCACTGCAAAAGCCACTTCCTCTCGCTCAAACAGTTACGTACAAACTTTTGGAACTTCTATTTTGCTTTTTAGATTGAGAGAACTTTGATTTTGCAGCTCTCCAATGCGACCATCAGCTGTGACTTCCGTGGTAGCCTGGTTCCAATCTGTCCAAGAGGCAACCTTTCCACGCCCATCAGGGATTTTATATGTTGTGGAGCTTGTGCCGCTACAGCCAGTGCTCCTCCTCCTCCTCCTCCTCATCGTTCCCCAAAGAAGCCAACGGGTAAAGTAATCGCTGGTATCGCTGCGGGCGGAGTGGTCGCCGTTTGTGCCATCTTCGTTTCCGCCGTGTTTTTGTGTCGTAAGTGCCGCAAATCTCCAACTGAAAGCGATAATGACCAACCTCAAGAACCGGACTGGTTGGAACCAACGAGATCTCCTCTGAAACAAAACTTGTAATCGACTCCTTCAGATCTCCAAAACTCGTCTTTTTATATACATACTTTCGCACACAAAACAAGAGCTTTGCTTTAGAACAGAAAGAAAAACTTGAAAGACTTACACTACCACGAAGAAGAAGAAGAAGCTCTTCAGCTCAAGGGGCCGCCATGGCCGATCGGGGGCGGAGGCTCCTGCTGGATGTGAGCGATGCGAGCGGTTGGCCACTCGAGTGACATCTTCCGCAGCGGGCTCTGGAGGTAGACGGCGGCTTTGCGCTTGACCACTCGGGGTGCTCGATCTCGAACAGCCTCTCCCGGAGGTCGCGAGTGATGCTCACGTTGGGATGGGCTACGTGTTCTTTCACAAGATGGACACTTCAAGCTATACCGAGACATCAAGAAGGAGCCTAGCATGTTTGCCACTCTCATACTCCAGCTCCCTGCATGGTTGCCAGGGAGGTGCTCTCGTGGTTCAGCATGGCAACGTCACTTTGACCCCGGCTTCAAGGACACCGTCTTCTTTGCCGACTGCGAGCATGAAATCCAGCCAGTGAGACGAGGAAAGCTTGCCTGCATTTCAACCTGGTACGCAAGACGAACGTTAGATCCTACAGAGCTCTGTGCGACGTTAGTACCGCGACTGTGCTACGAGTGAAGTCATCTCTCGCACCTTAAATCCAGGATGCAAATTTTCTCCCACCAGAACGTCCACACCCCCAGCTCAATGGCGAGCAACACCATTCCCGCCAGAGGAAGCACCGGAAGGAGTTCTCCGCGAAGGATGTCGGTCGTTACCATCTTCATCCCGTTTTTCCTGCACGATACCTGGTACACTCTGTGCAGTGGATCCACCTTAGAGGAAAACGAAAACAAGGAAGAAAGAAAACTACCTTCCGCGCTGATGCAAGTACTCGGATGCTGTCTCCCTCTTCATCACACCAGCATCGCTGGTGTAAGGATTTGGAACAACGTCTTTGATACGAATATGCTGGCATAGCATATTCTCCAGAGCTCTCTAGAGGCGCGGTAGGCAGCTAGTGTTGGAAAATGGATCTGGACAGGCCGGGGATTGAACCCAGGACCTCCTACACCGGTGCCAGGTGCTCTACCACTGAGCTAGCTGCCCTGGTTGTGTGCATGTTCAGCTTAGTTCTAACAACTAGATGTGTTTTTCCTTTGTAGCCTCTTGTGATGAACAAGACCCTGGTCATGGTATCGGAGCACTAGTTTTTCTGAGATGGCTTCAGACAAAGACGTTTTGGAAGTTTTTGATGGCAGAGATTTCCATGGATGGCGAACTCAGATGCAGTTTTTCTTCATGGAGAAGAACCTTTGGGATATAGTCTCTAGGACAGAGGCATGTCCGGCAGCGACAGAGGTTGCACCCGAGAAAGAGTGGAACAGACAAAACACTCGAACACTTGGAATCCTTGGAAAAGACAGTGCTTGGCCGAACCAACGAGACCAATCTAATTGAGATGAAAACCAAGTTCGGCAGCATGGTCAAGAAGAAGGATGAGTCCATTCAAGATTATGCAAGTCGTTTGAAGGATACAGCCAAGCAGATCGACACCCTTCAATCTCCCACCAAAGTGGACGACAGTGAGCTTGTCACAGTGTTTCTCAAGGGCATTCCAACAGCGTTTCAACTTGCTGCCGCTGGACATGTGGCCACCAAAACCTTTGATGAGGTCGTTAACGAGATGTTAGCACTGGAAACCTTGCTAGGAGGATCTCAGTTTCTGGAAGAAATCCCTCGCGATTTGGCTATGTTTGCTGGTTCTAAGGCCAAGGTCTCAATCTGGGACAGGCTAGGGCCGCGCCAGGAGGATGCTGCCAAAGAACGCAAACAAGAAGGTCAAAACGAGCCAAAGAGAAACAAGAAGCACAAAAATAACGGTCTCTGTAATATCTGTAAAAAGCCAGGACACTTCGCCCGGGACTGTACAGATGAAGCGGCCAAGTTCCGGAAGGAAATCAGGAAGGGGAAGCAAGTTGCCAATTACGCACGAGCACAGATGGTAGCTTGTTCATGGGTCAAGCTGTAGCAGAGTCAAATTCCCTTGCACCCAACACTCCAAGAACAGAGGTGATCTGGATTGACAGTGGAGCCAATCAGCATATGACTCATCTCCAAAGCCTTTTCTCGCATTTAGAAGACGTTCCAGACGGGAAGCGAATTTACCTCGGCGATGACTACTCACACAGTGTGTGTGGAGTTCAAGGTTCGACTTGCCACAGGACAGGTTGTAGCAGTCAGTGGAGTCTACTACGTTCCTGGTGTCAAGATGACACTCTTCTCCGTTGGAAAAATCACAGATTGTGAACTTCTCTTTTCCAAGACGCAGTGCACTATAATGTGAGGCGAGTCAGTTATAGCCAGTGGGAGGCGTTATGCTGAATGCAGAGGTGGAGTATCCAGTCAAGCCTAGCGAGCAGCTTCTTTTTGCAGGTCCTCAGCATGCGGTTGACCTCCAGACATGGCATCGCCGGCTTGGTCACACGAATTACCAGGATATTAAACAACTTGCGAGTTCAGGCATGGTTGACGGTCTTCACATCACTTCTCAGAAGATGAAGTTTTGTGAGCCGTGCGTTCTCGCAAAGCAGCACAGATTTCCTTTCAAGGCTGGTGCTGCTACAAGAGCTACCGAGATTTTAGAGCTAGTCCACTCTGACGTGTGTACGATGCCAGTACTTTCTCGAGACAAGAAGGTCTATTTTGTGACCTTTATAGACGATTATTGCAGGATGATCGCAGCAAAGTTTCTAGCTCGCAAATCTGAGGTGATCAATGAGTTCCAGTTTTTTAGAACTCGAGCAGAGTTGCAGACAGGCAAGAAACTGAGGAAATTTCGAAGTGATGGTGGTGGAGAATATGTCTCTAAAGATTTTATCAAATATTGTGAAGAAGATGGGATTGAGAGGTAGTATTCAGTTCCAGATACACAGCAACAAAATGGCACAGCTGAACGAGCCAACCGAACGCTCCAGGAAGCAGCTCGCTCCTTATTACGAGATGCTGGTTTGCCCAAGTCCTTTTGGTGTGAAGCTGTTGCAGTCGCAGCTTATCTGCGAAACCGTCAGATCACATCAGCAGTGAGCGACGAGACACCATTTGAGCTTTGGTATGGCAGAAAACCGGATCTCAGTCATCTTCGAATTTTTGGATGCATAGCGTATGCATTTGTGCCAAGGAAGCATCGCACCAATCTTGAAGATTGCAGCGTGAAGGCAGTTCTAGTCGGCTACAGTGATCACATGAAGGCCTACAAGCTCTTCAGTTTGTCCTCATCCAAGATCTTACACAGTCGTGATGTGATCTTCGATGAAACAGGACGTATGCAACCAGAAATCTCCCGTGCGCTCTTGATCCTCCAGTCAACCGTCAACGGTTTAGGAAGAAGACCCTAGCGCAACTGCAGCTCCAGCAGCAGGATCCAATCAGCCCGTCCCTATAGACGCAGCGGCAAGTGATGCTGAAGCGAGTGGGAGCTCTCAACCCGGTATTTTTGGCACGGGTGGGAGCGACACTTCAGGCCAGAACGGGACGTCTCCTCCAGTCGGCGGAGAGATTGGCTTAAGTGGGAGCACTCAGCCTTCACCACAGCCAGTGCTTAGACGGTCTACTCGGATCCGCACACTCACAGAAGCAGGGGCACAATTTCAAGAACGGCTTGACTTTCAGACTGCCCGCCGAGCTTCTCGGCAGCAAGCTCAAGCTAGGGAGCGTGCCCAGACAGCTCCAAGTGGTTCCAACACGTTCTACTATGCAGCAGCTCCTCCAGAAGTGCAACAGGCGTTTTCTCCAGTTTTCCAGTTGTTATTTTGTCAAGGCCAAGATATCTTGGTTCCCAAGAATTTGCGTGAGGCACTCTCCAGTCCTGAGCGTGAGCAGTGGCAAGCAGCAGCAAATTCTGAGTATTCGTCTCTCACGGAGAATGAGACATGGGACCTGGTCGATCTACCTCCTGGAAGGAAACCGATCAAAATTATGTGGCTTTTTCGAATCAAGACTGGAGCTGATAAGAAACTTCTCAAGTACAAGGCAAGACTTGTAGCAAAGGATACTCACAGGTTGAGGGCGTGGACTACAATGAAACGTTTTCTCCAGTGGTGAAGATGGCCTCTATCCGCTTGTTACTCAATCTTGCAGCCCAGCAGACTTTAGAAGTGGAGCAGCTCGACGTCACCACAGCGTTTCTCTATGGCGATCTTGACGAGGAGGTTTATGTCCTTCAGCCAGAAGGATATGTCATCAAAGACCAGGAACACAAGGTGTGCAAGCTTAAGAAGGCTTTATATGGCAGTGGTATGCGAAGATGAACAGCTATCTACTCTCCATCGGTTTTGTGAGTATTTCAGCAGATTCTAACGTTTATCTTCGCAAGTCAGGTACAACATATATTTATCTTGCACTCTATGTAGACGATTGTCTACTAGTCGGTCCAACTCGCATAGCTTTGCAGCAGCTCAAGCGTGAGCTACAAGCACGATTTAAGATGGTGGATCTTGGACCAGTGAAATACTGTTTGGGGATCGAGATTATACGCGACAGGCAAGCTGGCATCATACAATTATCTCAGCAGAAGTATGTTGACGATATCTTGGAGAGGTTTCATCTTGCTGAGCTGAATGAAGCGTCAACTCCTATGGAAGCCGGCCTCCATCTCAGCAAAGATCAAGTTCGACAAACAGTCGAGGAATGCGAGAAGATGCAGATACCGTACCGTCAGATGGTTGGCAGCTTAGTCTACCTAATGGTCTGTACACGGCCAGATTTAGCTCTTGCAGTGGGAGCAGTGTCCCAGTTTCTCGAGACTCCAAGACTTCCTCATTGGTTAGCAGTCAAACGTATCTTTCGCTACTTAAAGCGGACCAGACATTTTGCACTCACGTACTCCAAAGTCCCAGCAGGTATGGGACTGTTTGGCTTCACGGATGCTGACTTTGCAGGCGAGGTTGAGCAGCCGAGATCCACCTCAGGTTATATCTTTGGTCTCGGCAGCGGCGCTCTCACATGAATTATAGCGTTATCGTCGACCGAAGCAGAGTATGTTGCAGCTACCCAAGCAGCTAAGGAATGTTGCTGGCTACGACAGCTCTTGGACGGCATCGGCTATTCTCAGCTAGCGCCAACAGTTATCTTTTGCGATAACCAGGGTGCTATCGCACTCATGGGCGCGCCAAACATATCCAGGTGCAGTTCCATTATATTCGAGATCAAGTGTGTTTTGGAGCTCATCCATTGTGGAACAACAGAGCAGGTTGCAGATATTTTTACCAAGGCGTTACCTCCAGCTTTGTTCCAGCGACACGTACACGCACTTGGCGTGAGCCTTGAGCGAGCACCTTAGTGCTCGAGTGGGAGTGATACGAATATGCTGGCATAGCATCTTCTCCAGAGCTCTCTAGAGGCGCGGTAGGCAGTTAGGGGACACTAGAGAGAGTAGGGTGTGTTTTTCCTTTGTAGCCTCTTGTGATGAACAAGACCCTGTTCATCCTTATCAGTCTTCAGGGCGCTTGATCCTCGTAGTGGTAGCAGCATTTCTCCAGCTCGGAGCCCCCGCTGCTGCTGGACTCTTCTTGGCAACACCACGGATCAAACGCTGCATCACAAACACGCATACTAAAAAGGCTTGGTAGAAACTTACACTCGCGAAAGCTTGCATCATCTCTCGAGAACAAAGCAAGGCAAGCTCAATCGTATTCCATTCTCGTCGACATTTGTGCCGCTGTGATTTGTAAAAACGCATGCATTCGGAAACTGGTGCCAACCACAGTAAGGATATGTTCTTGGGTGTGTTAAAAACAACAGTGTCTAACATCGTCCCGAGACAGAACTTTGTCTCAAATAGCTGCTTTAACAACATCTGGATTTCACCTGGAACTTCCATTCATAAGAAAGATCGGCTTGTTCTCTAGACAAATTTGGAGTTATAAGCAATCCCTTTCTCCTCCAAAGTAGTAGCACTCGATTAGACCTGGATTGACAACACAAAACCAAAATAGTCGTGCATTGTCAACTCCCTGCAAGCCATGGAACTCTTTACAGTTCTTCTATCGCTATGATTTACTACGAGCAACTGTACAAGAGATCCCGGTTGCTGAATAAATCTCCTAAGTGCGTCTTTCTTCTCTCAGAACCCGGCTTGTTGTCCAGAAATCTGTAAAGTAGCATCCTATGTCCCGCATTCAAGCCCGGATTGGTCTAGCCGCAGCCATGGCAAAAAAAAAAAAAAAAAGCCTAGGAGAAGACGAGAAGACGTGGGTGTGGAACTGCGTCATCAGAGGCTACGGCATGCTTGGCCCAATCGAGTGCGCTCGAGAGGCATTTCTGCAGTGTCCAGCTAGGAACTTCCTCAGCTGGAAGCTCCTTGCTGACGCATATGCCCAGAAGGGGCATTACGGGAAAGTGCTAGAGATTGAAGACAAGATCCCGGCTGTGATGTATCAGCTTGCTCCGCCTCCTCCTTCTCCAGCATCCATCTTTGATGCTGTTTCTCTGTACCAGAAAGGCAAGAGGTTGGCAGCATGAACTTCTTCAAGTGTTTTGCCATGAGGAAAATAGAAGGTAGCTTCTTTTTTTGGCATTGGGCAACCCTAACTAAACGATGGGTTCCAATGACCGGGTCTCAAGCCAACTTGGGTGCGGATTGTTTCCAGGAAGGTCCAGTTCAATCTACCTGTGTCGTGCTATAACAACATTTGCTTTAGATCTAGACATGGAGGCCAAGTTTTTGATGTTTCTAGGATCCGTCTTGTTAGGACACATCGTGTACTAGTCCGTGCTCAGAACACCAACATTGAGGAGCTGCTGGATGTGACCGACTTGCAAGTGCAAGAGATTGCAAAGCAGGCCATCGAATGTTTGTGGTGAGGGTCACATTCTAGATCACGTCTATGCAAACGTGTGTCATGAAGTCTAAGAATGATTGCTGTGCAGGGAGTCTATCGATTTGCTTGCCAGAGACTTGCATCAGGCAACCCTGCAGGCCGCAGGGTCCAGAAGCTCTCATGAATTGGGGTACATCAGAATCTAGCTTGCACAGCTTCGGGAATGGAACATGTCGCTACGTTAGCGTGTCTAGCGAGAGATCATACATCAGGTTGGTTGTCTCACATTTTTGCTAGTATTTTCTTTTGAGATTTCTTAAAACGTCCAGGGTCTCACCTGAGCTGGCTTCGGAGACTGATACTGCTGCGGTCTTGTGCGCTCAGAAACCTCTTGACCACAAATTACAACAGGCCTGCAACAGGAAAGGCACTTTTCGGAGGCGGCATTGAAGGCTATTTATACGTTTATCCAAGCTGGGTACGAGGTTTTCGTCTTTTTAATTCATGAAAGGCATAGATAATCTACTGGACTATGCAGACAACGAAAACTGTAACACATATGATCCGAGACGCAGGCCGTGGTACTTGAATGCCTTGGCAGTTCAGAAATCACTCTACATTGTTTTGGACACATCGTTGTCCATGAGAAATCTTGTTGGACCTTTGTCATCCAAAGCCGTCTGGCCGCTGCCAGAAGCGTTCTTAAGGCACTCCTGGACATGGAGACCAAATAGCAGTGTCAACGACTAGTGGTGGACCTATTGTCGCTCCCGCGAGATACTACCGCAAGTGCAAGGCCGCCGCCGCGGCCGCCACCAAGAGCTATGGCAACCACGGGGAGCTGTCCAAATCGGCGGATATGTGCTCGCATTCTTCCGAGAAGCACGGCGGCGGTGTCCTGGGATTGGAGTAATTTAAACGATGGTCTAAGTTATGATTCATCTTAAGGCTTTGGTTTTGCAGGTTTCAGTCGTGCTTGAAAACCTTGAAACATCATCCAATGCTTCTGGCATTTCGTCCCTCAAGGATGCCATAGCCAAGGTCAAAGTCGACAATTCACCCAAGGATATCAAGAAAGGTCTTGCTGCGGCCCTTGATCTCTTCAATTCCAGCTCTAACTTAAACGTAAAGATCATCCTCTTTCTTTGTCTGTCACTAACAGTGCTCGTAATGTAAGGTAATACTTCTCTTCACGGATGGACAGTTTGCCAGCAATTTCAACTTTGCAGATTTGAATCCACTCTTTGCACAACTCAACGACAAAGGTGTTGTGGTTTTCGTCTACAGGATAGGATTCTTCACCTCCAACGATGCCACTTTCCAGGAGATGCAAGGTAACCTCAACATGACTTACGAGGCTGTGAAAGAAGAGAAAAATCCCCTGCTCAACATTCGGAGCTACTTTGATTACATCGCTTGGCTTCGCTTTGTTGCTGTGCTACGTGGGTGCCTGTTTACGTTGATGCCGCGGAGCTTGGAAACGTGACGAGCTCAATATTCCTAGGTAAACCGGCTCTCCTTTTCTTGTCTTGGTCCTTTGATCATCTGATTACTGCTGTAGCGTTCGATGCAAATCAGCGTTTGATCGGAGTTGCATGCATTGACATTATTGCCGAGAAGCTTATCAGCAGGCACGGCAGCGCTGCTGTTCAAGAAGCAGTGTCTAAACGGAGCTTCCATTCTTCAGAGAATGTGACGCCTTTCCCTCTCACTCACAAAACCCCCAGCTTTTCAACTTATCGCTGACATTACCAGTAGGTCTCGAATGCAACTATTATCAACTGTGGTTTTACTGGGAAGCTGACTCCCATGTGCCCGCAAAGAGATTTTCAGACACCGATCACAGAGCTGATGTGCTGTGGCGATTGTGCTGTTGCCAGCACCAATTCTTCGAAGACTTCATGGCGGTTGGTGCCATTGCTGGTATTTGCGTGGGAGCGGCAGTTCTTGTTCTGGCTGCCGCTGCTGTAGTTTTCTACTGTAAGTGCTGCAAATCCCCCTTGCCTACCACGAGTGAAACTCCCATCGGGGCTGAACAAGAAGTGTGGGTGACTGGCCCGCAGAGGTTACAACTGAAACTCAAAACTCATCAGCAACAATGGACTTCGTCCCTTAAAAAGTCAATGGAAGTGAATGACCGGTGTCCAAAAACATGTAGAAATGTCGTAGATGTCATCATCAGCCTTTGGGCGATGTTTCCACACGGTTTAGGATATGGTTCCTAAAAATCAACACGAAAGGCAAGACAGCTTCTGTAACTTCTGGAATGGTAGGAACCAACGAGGGCTTGATAAAATCAACGCCACCACTTTTGCAGGTTTGAGCGAATGGAGAGCTCCCTCTTGCTTAGATCCGCCTTTTTAGGAGTCTTGTCTTTGCTGCTAGCAAACGCTCAAGATAACATCGAAACAGTGCTGAACGAGACCGACTTCCAGGTCCAGCAAATCGCAAATCAAGCAATCTTAAATCGAGCCAATACTTGTGGTAAGCTCTTGAACCTCAATCTCAAACAACTTTGTAGAGTATTGTCACTCCAGGAAGTCTATCGGATTGCTCACTCGACACTTGCAAAAGGCGCCCTTGCTGGCCGCAGTCCAAGGATGAGATCCAAAAGCTCTCTTGCATTTCAGTATTCCGCAATGGAGACTGCACGTCTCCGGCAAATGGAACTTGCCAGAGCTTAAGCGTTTCAACTCAAAAAACATACCTCAGGTATCTAGTTTGTCAATGTACAGCTTTGACTTGAGATGTTGCTATGATCATCTAGAGTCCCAGCCGATCAAGACCCGGAGAAAGATCGAGATTTTCAGACGGTCTTGTGTGCTCAAAAATCTCTAGACAAGAAGCTACAACAGGCCTGGAATAACACGAATAAGTTTTCCGTTGGCTGGGCTTTCTTTGGAGGGATTGAAGGATACTTGTATGTTTACCCGGGCCGGGTAAGTGCACAATAAGCATTTCTTCCCTGCAAGCGAGAGTTTATGTCTTTATATTGACAGGACTATGTCGACAGTGGGCAGTGTGATCTTTACGATCCAAGGCTCAGGCCATGGTTTCTCAATACTTTGGCGATCCAAAAATCGCTCTACATTCTCTTGGACACCTCCACTTCCATGAGCAATCCCACTGGAGTTTTATCCTCCCAAAGCCGCTTTAATGTTGCAAGTAACATCATTAAGCAGCTGCTAAACACCCTCACTAATGGAGATCAAGTGGCTGTGTCAACGATCGGTGGTGAGAAAATCGGAGCTCCAGTTAAGTTTTTCAGCAGAAACTGGGATAACTTCTGATCATGAGGTTCTGAATTCCAGGTTTCCGTAGTTCTTGACGTCCAGGAAACCTCTTTGAATCTGACTGGAATCTCATCCCTCAAAGATTCCATAAGCAACACAAGTGTTACAAACTCAGCCAGTAACATAAAGAATGGGCTGCAAGGAGCACTTCATTTCTTCAACACCAGCTCCAACTTGAATGTAAGATGCTTTTCGTGTGATAATCACAAGAAATCACATTGGTTTCTTCAACTTGGCAAATCCCAGGTCATAATCCTCTTCACAGATGGACAGTTTGTCACCCCTGGCAATTTCAACTTCACCCAACTGAGCCCAGTTTTGGCACAGCTGAACGCGAGAAACGTTGTGGTGTTCGTCTACAGAATTGGGTCCTTCACGTCCAACGACAGTGCCGCTTTCCAGCAAATGCAGAGCAGCCTCAACATGAGCTACGAGTTCATCAGTGACGACAAAAACCCGCTGCTCAAGATCCACAGCTACTTCGACTACATTGCATGGCTTCGCTTTGTCGCCGTCAACAAGAAACCAGTTTGGGCGAGCTTGTATGCTGATTCTGCTGGCCTTGGCAATGTGACAACTTCCATCTTTCCAGGTTTGTATAGAACTATTATTTATTAGTCTGCTTCTTCTTAGTAATTATTTTAACTTCATGCAGCTTTTGATGCAAATCAACAGTTGATTGGAGTTGCATCGATAGATGTTCTTGCTGATGGGCTTATCGCAAAGCTTGGCCAGCCTACGGTTGAGAAAGCTTTATCTCAACGATCCTTTCCTCCTTCACAGCAAAAGCCTCTTCCTCTCGCTCGAACAGTTACGTGGAACTTCGATTTTGCTTTTTAGATTGAGAGAACTTTGATTTTGCAGCTCTCCAATGCGACCATCAGCTGTGACTTCCGTGGGAGCCTGGCTCCAATCTGTCCAAGAGGCGACTTTACCACGCCCATCAGGGATTTTATATGTTGTGAAACTTGTGCCGCTACAGCCAGTGCTTCTCCTCCTCCTCGTTCCGCAAAGAAGGGAACGAGCAAAGTAATCGCTGGTATCGCTGCGGGCGGAGTTGTCGCCGCTTGTGCCATCTTCGTTTCCGTCGTGTTTTTGTGTCGCAAGTGCCGCAAATCGCCAACTGAAAGCGATAATAACCAACCTCAAGAACCGGACTGGTTGCAACCAACGAGATCTCCTCTGAAACAAAACTTGTAATCTTATTCCTCGGACTCCTTCAGATCTCCAAAACTCGTCTTTTTATATACATACTTTCGCACACAAAACAAGAGCTTTGCTTTAGAACAGAAAGAAAAACTTGAAACACTTACACTACCACGAAGAAGAAGAAGAAGCTCTTCAGCTCAAGGGGCCGCCATGGCCGATCGGGGGCGGAGGCTCCTGCTGGATGTGAGCGATGCGAGCGGTTGGCCACTCGAGTGACATCTTCCGCAGCGGGCTCTGGAGGTAGACGGCGGCTTTGCGCTTGACCCACTCGGGGTGCTCGATCTCGAACAGCCTCTCCCGGAGGTCGCGAGTGATGCTCACGTTGGGATGGGCTACGTGCTCCCACCAGAACGTCCACACCCCCAGCCCAATGGCGAGCAACACCATTCCCGCCAGAGGAAGCACTGGAAGGAGCTCTCTACGGAGGATGTCGGTCGTTACCATCTTCATCCCGTTTTTCCTACACGGTACCTGGTACACTCTGTGCAGTGGATCCACCTTAGGGAAATCGAAAAGAAGGAAGAAAGAAAACTACCTTCCGCGCTGATGCAAGTACTCGGATGCTGTCTGCCTCTTCATCACACCAGCGTCGCCGGTATAAGGATTTGGAACAACGTCTTCAGGGCGCTTGATCCTCGTACTGGTAGCAGCATTTCTCCAGCTCGGAGCCCCCGCTGCTGCTGCACTCTTCTTGGCAACACCACGGATCAAACGCTGCATCACAAACAAGCGCACACTAAGTTAGAAAAACCAAAGGCTTGATAGATGATACTAACTTACACTCGCGAAAGCCTGCATCATCTCTCGAGAACAAAGCAAGGCAAGCTCCGGTCCTTACGAAAACAAGAAACAAAAGAACTGTTAACCTGGCTATAAATCTTATCCGATTCTCGTCGACATTTGTCCCGCAGTGATTTGTAAAAACGCATGCATTCGAAAACGTGGTGCCAACCACAGTAAGGATAAAAAAGACGCACGTTAGCGAATCTTACAGTCACTTTTGCTTGAACTCTCCCGAAGAGGGTGCAAGAACTCTCCCGAAGACGCTGCTACTGGAAAAAAAGAAAAAGAACTCTCTCGAAAACACGAGTGTCAATGAAAAGGCATTTATTTACCAGGCAAACATTTCTTTTCCAGACAAGCCAGGCATGATACGTAGACAATATACCACTAAAACAACAAGAGAATCACAAAAAGTCCATACCGCAAACTTACTCGGCCCACCAGAGGGCGATCTGCTTGCGGCGCTTGATCTTCTTCTGGAGCTGGAGGAGACCGTAGAGAAGCGCCTCGGCGGTGGGCGGACACCCCGGGACGTAGATATCCACTGGGACAATCCGGTCACAACCGCGAACCACAGCGTACGAGTAATGGTAGTAGCCACCGCCATTCGCACAGCTTCCCATCGAGACCACCCAGCGCGGCTCGGGCATTTGATCGTAGACCCTGCACGTAGAAAACTATCAGTTGACGCAAGGAAAGAACGCTCAAGAACTTTGGAAAGAACTCCACACCGACACAAAGAACAATGGAGATCTTCACAACAAAGAACAACGAAGATCTTCACACCGACTCAAGGCAAAGAGAAGGAAACTAAAAGGAAGAGAGAAAAACCAAGTACCTGCGAAGAGCTGGAGCCATCTTGTTGGTGAGAGTCCCAGCCACGATCATGCAATCCGACTGCCTGGGGCTGGGACGGAAGATCATTCCAAACCTATCCAAGTCGTAGCGCGCGGCTCCAGTGTGCATCATCTCCACGGCGCAGCACGCCAGGCCGAAAGTCATGGGCCAGATCGATCCCGCTCGCACATAATTGATCACGGAATCGAGCTTGGAGATGACGAAATTCGCCAGGCCGGAGGATTCCCCGCTGCTGCTGGATGTGGCATAATCCGCCCTGCTGATCGCCGGCAAGCTGCTCTTGAGAAGATTTGACCTCGCCGCGGTGCTGGACACCGCCATTCGAGCTGCCCTGGGAAGAAGCGCCATAGCTGCCGCTGCGTTGAGAGGGAGAGGCCAAAGATCACAAACGATGCCAAGGCGATGGAGTTGCGTACCTCGAAGAAGACGGTGCGCTGCACAAACCCTAGCTCTCGTGTTTTACCCTTTAAGAACTCAGCCAACCACAACGCGCCACGTGTTCATCTAGTTTTGTGCCCTAATTCCACTTTCTAGGGCTTCTGGGCAGGGAGGAAATGTATCATCCATCGCGCGGAGGCGTCCGGGGAGGCCGCGATCGTAAGTAGTCTATGTTTGATCGATCATCAATCTCTGAATTGGCGGTGGCGCAGAGTTTAATTGGGACGATGTCAAGGTCGATAAGCATCGAGAGAATTACCTGGGCCACAGCGTCAAAGCTCCAGTGGGACGCTGGCAAAGAGGTATCTATTCCATTCCACTCTTCCTTTGGCAATCAGACTCTTCCATTCCATTCCCATTGTTTCCTTTGGCGAACTCATTCTTTCATTGTTTCCTAACTCTTCTCTCTTGGTTTTTTTTGCTTCTTCCAGGCAAAGATTTGACATGGTACGCAAAGGGAGGAGGATCGGCCGACGCTGCCGCGAAGGCAGAGATCGAGAGAATCAAAGCCGAGGAAGATCAAGCAATGCGCGAGGCCTTGGGCTTGGCTCCTACTCGAGACAAACGCAACCAAGTCAATCGTCTCGACAAACACGAGCTGGAGGAGCTTTTGAAGCCTGGAAAAACTGCCGAGGAGCTCTCCGAGACTTACACTGCCGCGGAACGAATCCAAGGACTTGGGTTTGGACCGTAAGTTTGCTCCCTTCCCTTCTCGTGTCGCGCGCTCACTGTCGGTTTCCCTGCGCAGTACAGCAGCAAGTAAGAAACAACGAGGCTACGAACGGGGAGAACAATTGGCGGGGATACAACCGGAGAAGCTCGCAACCAGTGAACCAGCTGCAACCTCTACAGATGGTGGCAAGAGGAGCAGCAAAGAAGAAACCAAGGAGCGGAGGAGGCAGGAGAAGAACGCTCGCAAAGAGGAGAGAAAAGCGGCTAAACTCGCACGCAAGGAAGAAAGGCGGCAACAAAAGGAGCTCAAGCGAAGATCATCGGGGAAAGACGAGGATCGAGACGAGGACGAGCAGCAGCACTCAAAGAGGCAGCGACACGATTCAGACTCGGATTAAAAGCGTGAGAAAACGGAGATAGAGAGAGAGAGGTACTTACTTGCTTCTTTGCGTTTATCAGCAAAACTTTGCGTTGCGTGATTTACTCAGAGCGATCGCTGCGCGCACGATGTGGGACCTTGAGTAAATCTTCTATCTGTAACGGCTGCTCGCTAGCTGGCGGCTGTGCTGCCGGTTACGAGGAAGACGAATGACATGGCTGTGGGCGTCAGTCCCGGCAGGTCTAACGGATGCCCCCACATTCGGCGACAAAACAAAACCCGACGCGGCGTGTCGTACTCCTTCCCCGGCCCCTTCCGTACGTGTTTGTTGTGCTTATCTTCCTATTATTCGCTCTTGTGTGCTCTTGTGTGCCATGGCAGATTATCTGAGGTCGTAGTACCAAGATCTGGAACACAGCTAGTCAGTAAAAGAGAGATTTTTAAGCATCAAACTGGGAGAATCTTACTCGAGATCGAAACCACCACCACCATGGTCGTTTGTCGGCACTAGGAGCTCTGCTGCGAAGGTAAAAAATTGAAGAATCGGCCGCACGCAACGCCATTTGTGAGAGAAGACCCCACACCGTTCTAATTCTGGTACCTGTTGCAATAGCGGGGTACCTTTCTCTGTCGCGCCTCTGTGGTTTCTGTCTTGCTTCTAGCTCGTCGTTCCTTGTTTGAGAGCACCAATGCATGCATCCAGCCAGCTAGCCAGTGTGGTTTTTTCAACGTTTAACTAGCACCACGATCAACACAGCAAGCAATGAATGAGCGCCCGTAAAGACAAAGAAAAAACAGAGCTCACTCACTCAATGTTTAGTCGTTCAGCGCAGGTTACCAACCTGCAGCACGCACATCAAACACAAGTCTTTTGTTATCTCGTAGAGCAGGAAAACACAAGTTACCGCTTGTGTCGCCCCGTCGGTTTGTTGTCTTAGCACCTAATCACCTTTGTCGCTGTCGGCTCTCTCACTATCGAATGAGATCACAGGATGGTAATCCGGGACCGATCGGAAAACTCGAAAACTTCTCTGTGGGAAAACGTATGATTAGTAGATGATCAGCCAAATGATAGAAAGAATTTCCACACCTACTTCGTTGGACTGGTCGCATTCGAAACCATGCTTTTCGCTTTATCGCAACCAACCTGAAAGTGAGATTTTTCACCCCTTTTTTCCACCATTTCCCTCTTTTTGCTTTTGTCCCTGCTCGCGTATGTTTGCTTGTTTGATTGCTTGCTTGCTTGATATCCCCCCTGCTGCAACTTTGCCTTTGTCTGTAAGATGATCCACCTGGAAGGAGGCAGCCAACTTAATCATCTCCTTGAATGTTTTGCGTGTCTTGTGGGACCTAGATTCGCCATCACCCCCTGTCTGAGGCCCCCGATTTCCTGCTTGATCTCTCCCTCGTCCCTGTGCCACGATTGGCTCTGCTTTTATGAGCAAAGGCCAGGATATAGGCACGCTCTTTTCTTGTGAGCTCCCTTGTTCCCACCTCCACAAGCTTATATATTTATCGTCTCCTGCTTTCGAGCACCCTGTCTGCTGCTACTCTTTCCAAGAACACTCTTGAAATTCCCCGCGCCAATCGCTAGAGAGAAGCTCTTGTTCTTGTTCTTGTTCGTTTGCCTTGTTTGTGCTTCGGGAGAACCTGGAATGCTCTTAAGCCTCCTGCATTTTCACGTTGTTTCCCCGTCTGACGGTATGGAGTACGGAAGAAATCTTCATAGGACCAGCAAAGGCTCTCACACCATCCTCAAGTCGATCTCTCCTTCTTCTTCGCCTTCTAGCAGCAGCAGCAGTAGCAGCAGCAGCACTAGTAGTAGCGATGGCAGTGATGGTCATTCTGAGCGTCCCCCAAGGCACCGCGTGCCGGTCATTAGAGTAGTTCACATCTTCAATCCCACTGTCATAAAGACGGACGCCGCCAATTTTCGATCTCTGGTTCAGGAGCTCACTGGCAGAAGTTGCAGCAACGATACCAAAGTCGGCACTGTTCGATCGAAGTCCCGGCAGAGCTGTGCTTCCGTCCCCGAGCCAGAGTCCAACAGAATCCTGGTGCCGCCTCATATTCTCAAGTTGTCCATGAATACGCCCCCAAGAAGAAATCCCATCTACATCCCAGAGAGGCTCGGCACTTTCAGCGACATCGACATAATGTCCAGCTTTCAAGAGCCCGTCATGGACTTGAGCAGGATGCTGCCATCTCTCGGTGGTATGGAGATCAACGACGAAGGCTTGCCAAGATTTTCCTTTTGAGGCCCAGCTTGTGTCTGCAAGCACCGATTCACAGTCTCAGTCGGGGAGATATAGCAAAAGCTTAGTGAAAAATCTTTGCCTTTCTTTCTTTGTGTTTTTCCTCACCAGTTTTTGATCATAATGCAAAGTCAGCTTGCTTTCTGTTACGAGTTCTTCCACATTCGTATCATCTATAGTAAGTGTTAAAACAGAAGAGCTCATTAGATTCAAGGTTCAGCGATAATAAGCCATATGACGACTAGAAGCCCAAGGTGAGGCTTGCACTGGCAGGGAGGATTTCGGCCGAGACTCTCTAACCTTCCTCTCGTCTCTGAGCCATGGCTCGATAATATTTAGAAGGCTCTTAACGGAATCGCCAGTACTAAGAAGGTCAGAAGCCATGGTAAACCGCTCAAGTTTTCCATCAACCACATAGGCCAGGTGTGTTGCCCAGGCCTCCAATCCATCAAAAATGTGTGTTGCATAAACAATGGTGCACCCTCTCTACGGCATCCAAGCAGCCTCTCAGCCTCCAAAAAAATATCATCAAGATTTTGTGTTGCATACCTCTGTGCATTCCTCTATAAAAAAGCTCAGCAAGTCCATCCTTCCAACCACGTCTAAATCCACAGTGATCTCGTCCAGCAAGAGAACCTACATCCTTGATTATCAATCATTTGCGAGCCGAATCTATGGAAAACATCCGCACCTTATAAGGTCGCAGAAGCCCCATGCAAATTTGTACGCGGCGACGCTGACCATCGGAAACTTTATGCATTTTCCACTGCAGGTTGATATCCAAAAGATCTATCAATCTTTGTCGTCTATCCGGATCGATTCCTTCGACTGCGTACAAAACAGGAAGAGTTTTGGATCGAGGCATCGAACAAAAAAGAATCCCAAAAGAAACGATAGAACTTACCACCAAAGATCATGTGTTCTGCTGTAAAATCCCCTTGCAATGGCACATCACCCTTGGAGAAAAAAAAAAAAAAAGAGCTTCTCAGCAAGGCCACAAGCTTATAGGCTTACAAAGGAGAAAAGAAAATACCGCTGAGCCGATAGGACGATTCCAAGACTCTCCGAGGTATGCAAGGTCTCCATCGCAAGTAAGCGCGGTATCATGGAATGCCGATCTTCCGAGCACCTGGACGACGTCTTTCCCACCGACGAGGTGCTTACCAGCGAAAATCCGCAGCAGAGTCGTCTTGCCTGCACAGATTTCCAGTCAAAATGTAGCTCACATCGATCACGCACCCGCTCCATTCGCTCCGACGAGCAGGCATCGCGTCCCAGGAAGCAGCGCCAGCGACAGATCCGCGACGAAGGGAGCCTGACCTGGGTAGCTGAATTGCAGCGCCCTCACGGACAATGCTGGCGCTGGCGATGGCGCCACTCCTTCGTGCTCCATCTCGCTCGCCCTGCCCTAAAATAAATTTGCATATTCTCATAGATGCTTTGAGCAGAGAATGTACGCTGCACATGGCAGGAAAGATCCCAGTGAGGTAGTGGTAAACCAGCTGGATCGGTTGAAATAGCGACGCGCGCGACGCGACCAGTTGTAACAAAACTCGAAGAAACATGACCGTTATCCTGACGTGGCGGTCCACAGGCGGTCCCGGTTCGATCCTCGGCGCTGCCAGATTTCTTTCCTGTTCCTCTCGCGAAAAAGAAAAAGATGGGGGAGGGAACAACCGAAGGAGCGCTTGAATAGAGTCTCTAGGGTTTTGACATTTTTGGACAAGGCGACCGCGGAGGAATGTGATGATCCTGATCCTCTTCTAGCGCAGGCGATCGTCATCGCGCATTCTGTGGCCGCGTCGCGCAAGCGCTAGGGGGATAGGTAGCGGGGGGATTAGGATTATCGCGCATCGGCGGCAGCGACGATCGATCGATCGATAGCGCCGAGCGATCAGTGGATCACGTCAATGTAGCACGAAGAGCCCGAAATATTCCATTATGCTGTCAGGATCGCGACGACGATGAAAATCGATGCCGCAATATCGGTGAGTGAGAGATCTTCCCCTTTTAGATCGCTGCCGCCCCCTTTATGGTCTGATTCCCCTCTGTTTTGGTCACCGGCCAGGAGATGGGAGGGATGAGGGGTAATTTCTCCTCGCCAGACTGCTGCGATGTCCCGGGAACCAGGTGTCGCTGCAAGTGGCGATGGACGAATCCAGGCTGCTGCTCCAAGTGCCATGACAAGCTTCGCCATGGAGATTGCCTTTTGTCGTCGCCATTCCTCTTCTTCCTGTGCTCCTTTGCGGTGTTTGGTGGCGTGGGCATGCTCTTCGCGTGGCTCACTTTCTCGCCGTATCAGTACCAGAGGCTAGCCGTGGCTGGGAGCGGGTGTCAGCCTGATAATGAGGGTTCCTGGGCCATTGGAGTCTTTCAAGGAGCTAGCCCGTTCAGCCTAGAACCCCTGGAAAAGGTTTGCTTAGTTCCTTCTTTTCTTATAGACGACTTTAACCTTGCTTTTCTTTGAACAGCTAAGCGTGAACAATGATGCCGGGTCAGCCTGGCCAGTGGCAAACCCCGTGCTCACTTGCGCATCCGCATCTGATGGGAACCACGCAAGCAACTTTGTGGCGGACCCCTTCCTCTATCTCCGCGTAAGTCGTCGCTATCAGATTCTCTCCGTTATTTTTTTATGGTGTTGATTCCCGTTTTCTTAAGGACGAGAGCATGTACATATTTTATGAGACGAAGAATTCCGTCACGATGCAAGGAGATATTGGGGTTGCCGAAAGCCTTGATCAGGGAGCTACATGGAAAACACTTGGCATCGCATTGGACGAGCCGTGGCATTTGTCGTATCCCTTTGTTTTCGATCATGATGGCCAGGTAAGAGGCTATGTGGCCATGCTCTTAAGTGCGGAACTCACTTTCGGCAGGGTTTGCATGCCAGGTTTACATGATGCCAGAAGGCAGCTCCCAAGGCGATCTAAGGCTTTATCGAGCCGTCCAGTTCCCGCTGCAGTGGACCCTCGAAAAAGTTCTCATTCGCAAACCACTGGTTGACGCGGCTATGGTGGAGTACAACGGCCTGTTCTGGATCTTTGCGTCGAACTTCCAGCGTTTTGGCTCCCGCAAAAATGGTGAGCTCGAGGTGTGGTACTCTTCAAGTCCCCTGGGTACGTGGAAGCAGCACAGGGGGAATCCAGTTCGGAATGGTGACAAGAGCTTAGGTGCTCGCAATGCTGGGAGGCCGTTTATATACAACGGTCACATCTACAGGCCGGGTCAAGACTGTGGCTCCACGTATGGTAGCCGGGTGAAGCTGTTTCGCGTGGAGACCCTCACGAAGGACAAGTTCAGGGAAGTAGAGGTTAGCTTCAGTTTTGAAGAGTCTCATAAAGGGAGGTATGCATGGAATGGGGTGAGGCACCACCATCTGGACGCACAGAAGCTGCCATCCGGGAACTGGATTGCAGTGATGGACGGAGACAGGGTGCCGTCAGGCGACTTGTCGGTGCGGATTTATTTTGGTGCTGCGGCCCTGCTGTTTTTGGTGCTCTTGAACGTGGCGGTAGGCTGGCTCCTGGGATTCTGCGTGACTTCTCCAAAGTATATGAGCCTTGGAAAGAGAGGGGATGCTTCGCTGACGTCGTGGATAAGGGTTCCACTCTCCTCAAGGTTGCACAGGACAGTGTTGAGAATCAACAGGGACAGTCTTCCGTTCCGCAATCGCTTGCGTTCCAACCTCTGCTTCCGGCTCTGGCTGTGCTTCCTGGTAACTACAATGTGCGTGGCCTCCATCTGTGTGGCGGTCAGGTGCTTCTTCGGCGGTAGCGGTGCCGACGAGCCTTATCCAGTGCAAGGCGTCTACTCGCAGTTTACCATGCTTACGATGACGTACGACGCCAGGATATGGAACCTGAAGATGTATATCAAGCACTACTCGCGGTGCCCGTCGGTGCAAGAGATCGTGGTGGTCTGGAACCACGGGACGCCGCCAGACCCCAGTGACTTCGACTCGGCTGTTCCCGTCAGGATCCGGGTGGAGCCAACGAACTCGCTGAACAACAGGTTTAAGCCAGACCCGCTCATCAAGACGAGGGGGGTGTTCGAGCTGGATGACGACATTATGGTGACTTGCGATGACGTTGAGAGGGCATTCAGGTCGTGGAGGGAGAAGCCGGGGCGCATCGTCGGCTTTTACCCCCGGCTTATTGATGGTGATCCGCTCGAGTACAGAAACGAGAGGCACGCTCGGCGGGGCAAAGGCTACAACATGATTCTCACAGGGGCAGGCTTTATGGACGGGCAGACGGCATTTGAAAGATACTGGAGTCCGGATGTGGAGCAGGCCCGTGCCGTGGTGGACGAGCTATTCAACTGCGAAGACATCCTGCTCAACTTTCTGCTGGCGAATGGCACCACGTCCCGGACAGTGGAGTATGTCCACCCCTCCTGGGCGGTCGACACGTCGAGGTTCTCAGGCGCAGCCATCAGCAAGGATACAAAGACACACTACGACAAGCGCAGCCAGTGCCTGGCGAGGTTCGCCAAGTTGTTCGGGAGGGTGCCCGTGCGGAAGTGGGAGTTTGGCACTCGACGAGACGGGTGGGATCACTGACGAGAGATCATCTGGCGATACTTTTGCTTTTGCGGAGTGGTGGAAGCTCAACTTGGTCACGAATCACGAAGAACAAGGGTTGCTTGATCGATGGCAAGTGTACAATTGGCACAGGCAGCAGTAGCAACAGCAATAGCAGCAGCAGCAGCACACGGGGTCCTTCCTTGGACTCGTTCGGGTTTGGGATTTTCTCGCTTTTTTCTTCTTCTTCTCTCTTTTGTTTGTTTCTCACGTAGCTGTGTTTTTTCGTTTTATCTTTCCTTCCTCTTGTACATTACGAGACAGAGCGTCAAGTGAAGTGGCCTTTGTCTATCCATCCATCCATCCATCCACATCGCCTTCCCCGCCTCTCTATCCGGAGAAAGTTTGGAATCTCTCTCGTTCCAAGAGAAACAACCAGATGCTGGGCTAAATGATTTCCATGATTTCTCTCTATCCGAAGATTCCCCCCCCTTCCTTGTTCATGGAAAGCTCCAGCCAAGATCACAAAAAACTATAACATACCCCTTTAGCTTTTGGAGGATGG